CAGGTCACAGATTCTGTTAGCATAAAGCTACTTAGCTGACTTCAAGGAAACCAAGCTGATTTACACCAATCCACAATCTGACCCATTATCCTGTAAGGTATTCTCTTTTTTTTTTTAATATAGTGGGACAATAAAGTCACATTTATAGCCCAGAACACTCTCTGCATATTCCAATATCTTGTTTGCTCTTTTAACAGCCACCAAACACTGTGCAGATGGTTTCACTAAATTATCAACAATCACTCCAAAGTCAGTTCTGATATTCCTGTCCTTAGGGATGTACTACTGGGGCCAAACACATCCCTGGTGCAGCTCTGTTAGCCTAACACGTTTGGCCCACTGACCACAAAGTGCACTGCCTCCAATTACCTTCTCTCTCTTGCTCTTATCTCAGTGTACTGACTCTGTACTTATCTTAGTCTCTTCCTTATCTAAAACACTGCAATCTTCCAGGTCTCCTAATGCAGTTCATGATTTGACTCCTGTTGTTCTCCATCTAATATTATTGTCCCTTTCTGTGTTTTACTTTCTCTCTTCCTTTTCCTGAAGCGCTCCCACAAGCACTGGGGTCTTAAAAATCACTGCTGTTTACAGAGTTTATTACTTTCCATCATTTCTTATGATTCTCCTGCAGCATGTCTTTCCAATAATTACCTCTGTGATTTACTGTATCGGTCATATAACCTCCTCCTTCCTGTACTAATCAGCTCTGGATTAGCTAGTTAGCAGGGCCAGATTGCCCCCGACAGACTTTTTCCCATCTCTGTGCCTCACTCAGACATGCTGGGATCATGGTCTCTCTGGCTTTCTACATGCACACATTGCTCCTCGCCAGGTCTTCCAGGGCAGGCTCACCCCAACCAGCCAGGCAGCAGCCTTAACTGCATATTTCAGCAAACATCTCAAGCTCTGAGGAGCTGGCGTCTCTGCAAAAACACCTCCTTCTGCCTCTATTTAGGTCACGTAGCCATATGCCACTCCCCATGCAAGGCTTTGACTGAAAGCCACCATAAGAGCCCTTTGCTGTACATCTAAAACACTCAACTCTCTGTACCTGAGCATCTATAAAGTGTCACTGAACTAACGAATAAGTGCACTGTTCACCAAAACATCATAGATGAGTGAAGAATTGGTTTAAACTATCTTCAGATAGATCAGCTGAGTCCTATCACGGAGGGGAAGAGGAAAAGAAAACAGTGAAGTCAACTCTACTCTTTCTTTTTTAGGGCAGCAGCAAGGAACTGCCATAGCCTGTACTGCAGATTACACAGCAAAAATGCTACTTTGGACCTCAAGTATCTAACTGGTTACCTTGAGTGTGGAGATACATGAGACATTTCTTCTGGGAAAAAAAAAAAAATCTTAGCTACCCGTAAACTAACTAAAAAAACCCCACAAACCACCAACGGCTTTAATTAACTTTCTACCATTCAACTAAAAAGCATGGCCATAGGCAGAAATGCCCACAGAGCTTTGTGAGAGCAAAGACACAGAACTACGGCTTAACAGATTCAAAAGCTTGATTGTGACCCTGCAACAGGGGTACCTTCCTGTAACCTCTATTAACAGCAGAAAGCTCATTTCCCCAAAAAATTTCAGGGTATGCTGTGTATTTTTGAGGTCAGTCCAATGAAAGTATGTAGTAAGGATAATACTGCAGTGGTATTAAAGACACGATACATTTCTAGGGTAAATAATGCTATAATGTTCTCCTATATATATATATTTCGGAGAACATGATGTATGGACTCCTCCTTGGAGTTTATTTACCCCTTCTTTTGGTGATGTTTGTTGTGTCATTTTCACACAAAAATAGTTCTTTGCGAAAATGTCAATGAGACTCTTCATAGGCATTTTCAGACTATTACATAAGAAGATGGCACAGATATTTCCTTCCTACAGAAATTAAATTGGTGTTCAAGGGGGACACCAGTATTTCAACCTTCTGAAGTAAAAGATTAAGTTAACTTTACCTACCTACGCAGTCACGAAATCTGGGTAGTAAGGTACAGTGCTTTCCTCATGCATTTATGATTCTTAGGGATCTGAAAGACATCTTCTGGGTAATCTTGTAGCTTTAAAATGCTATTGTCCCTAGCTTTCTGTCCCCCTGCTCTGCCAGAGATTACCACTCCTGGAGCAGAAGCAACAGAAGACAGTGCACTGTAGTTCCCTCTTCCACAAGAGAACAAGGAGGGCAGGGATCAGTTATGTATTGCAGATGCTCTAGTTCTCAGCCTGGTATCTTAGCGAAATGTAGGGGACTTTGAACTGGAGTTTCTAAGGCACAGGCACCTGCTCCCAGCTGCTATCTCCTTTCCAAGCAGAGTAGCCTCTGATGAAAAAACAAAAACAAAGGAAAAAAACACCACAACCAAACAACCAGCAAAGAGAACTAAGAAATTGATCTCCTAGGCTCTTACAGCTAGATCCAAGTGGCATACTTCAGAGCAATGATTATTAGAGTGAAAGATACCATATTAATTAAGACTCCCAAAACATCTTTGAAGGAGAATATTTGGAAAAGTCCTCAGTGCTATTAATGTGACCACTGAATAGGGCTGTTCAAGGGTGCTATTACCTACAGTACGTGAACTGAAGCTAATGCTCTTCAGAGGAGAAAGTACAGCTATTAACAATTCAGACTTCCTCATAATACCTTTTGCACATATTGATCTATTTCCTGCTATTAAAAAACAAACAAACAAAAAACCACAAACAAGGCAAAAATATTTACTAGACGATATTGTCCTGTGAAGATCAACTTGCAGCTCAAACCAGTCAGATGTCAAGCGTAATAAAACTCTAAGTACTAATCCCTGGGGAATAGTCCCAGGTACCAGAGAATCCCAAAGATGAAAAGATTCTGAGCAAAAAGCTCTTTGCAGGAAAATGCTGGAGAAAACAATCTTTAATGTTCCTGTATCCCAATTTCCGCTAGTTACCACAGCAGCCAAGTAAAGCAGGCAGCTTTGGTCTGACAAGAATATGAAATTCAGGCTTTCAGAGAATGTAATGTTAAGATTTGCACCGTAGCTGGTGTGTGTGAGTTAGACTGGTGTGACCTTGGAGAGAAAAGGCTTATGCTCTCCATCATGTAATGTCATACCCCTAAACTGAAATTTGTGCGTTGCCCTTAACCTCTAATCTTAACTCTTTCAAAGGGATTCTGAGGGGATCTGCCAAGCCATTATCCATCTTCACCTCCATTCAGCTACCAGTGTGACTGAACTGCCACGCTAGAGGAAACCCGAGCACCCACAGCCGTACCACAGCGCGTGGCTCTTGCAGTGATGCCTCCCAGGCTTGCTTCGCAGCAGCACTACCCCAGGCTGCCTGCTGCTCAGGGCAGCAAAAAGACACACAGGCAAACAAGCGCAAGCCCACTCCACTACAGGTCCTCTTAGAAACAGAGATAAAGCCCGCGCCTTCCCTCCCCTTCTGGCACAGCTCGAAAACAAAATCAAAAAATCTCCAACCAAAGGAAAACCCAGCACCCCCAACCGAGCCCCAAACATCCCACATTCAAATTCAGCAGGGTATTAAAATGCCGTGTGAAAATGTGTGAGTGTTCTTAGTCAGAATAAATCTCTCTGAATTTACATAGACCATCCCTCCTCCCTTTTGTCAGTCAAATACGATGCTTCGGCAATCTAACTCCTGGCTATAACTCATATATACATACACATGAATTGTACATACTCCTCACTTTTTTTTTTTTTGGTTTCATTTTGCAGGAAGCCATTCTAGGCACTGGGAACAGATCACCATCTCCTCTTCCGAAAAAACCTTACTGCAGGGGCCTCTCCAGTCCAAATGGTTAGGAATCCAATACACAACAATCTTGCAGAAATCAGCTGCCAGATTTATTATTCTACCTGAAAACCCCAAACAAACAAAACAAAACAAAAAAAACTAAACCCCAAACAAACAAAAAAAATGGAATAAAAACAGACTTTAAATAAACCTCTTAGGTACATTTTAAAAAGGGTTAATCAGTTCAGTGAAAGACTTTTATATCTTCTGCTGAGAGATCATGTAATGTTGGTCTGATTGCTTGTTTTGTTCAGTGAGTCACTACCGTATACAGATATATATATATTTCTTAAATATTACACATTTGATGCATTTTTTCCTCTTTTTTTCTTTTTTTCCTCTTTTTTTTTTCCTTTTTTCTTTTTTGTTCAACCCCTTTCCCAAATACCCACATCCTGCCACAGGCAAGAGGCGCTCCGTGCTGACATTAAAGAACCAAAACCAATCCAAGGACTTTTCATCAAAGCATGTTTCATTTGAACCTTATTTCAATGGAAACCACATTTTTTTTAAACAATCTTACTCAACCTTTTCCCTTTCCTTTTTGCTAATTCTGCAATTTTAGACTTCTGATTCTGGGTCGATAACCGAAAATTTAAGTGCCATTGAGACTTATGGATGACAGAATTAGGTGACATATTAAGGCATATATACACTCCCATAAAATATGTTGTCTTATGGATCTGAGTAAATTAAATACTGCCCAAATGTTTTTTATGCACCTGTGGTTTCTAGTGACCACTACTTCTTTACTTTTGATTAATTGCATATTAAAATATTCATAGCTTAACTAGCGTCTTAACTGACAAAGGATGGAAATTTAACCCACCACTAGGATTGTCTTTGAAATCCATCCATTACAATGAAAATTATTCTTGTTGTTTTACGGTTATGCATTCATTTTCCTCTCACTTCTTGGAAATATAGGAAAATAAGCTACTCCATATAATGCCTATTTAAATTTCACTGGGCAAAAAAGAAATCCAGGTCTTACCCACTCTCCCTCCCTTCAAACTAAGAAATATTACACTTCAGAAAAGGTGCTTATATTTAAAACTTTTGGGTTTTTGTCAGGGCTTTCTTTTTTTTTCATTTTACATACAGAATAGCATGTGGCTTGTGTTCAAGATTACCCCTCTCAAAAAATAAAACAATTTGAAAAAATAACAACCAAAAAAACCCCCTCAAAATTTAAATTGTCTTCCGAGCATATCTGATCACATTTACATTTAGTGCCCAAAACAAGTTGATTGGTAACATCAGTGCCAGCACTACAACATCATACAGCAACTTCATGGTATTCTTTGACAGTTCATCTAATTCTCCGTTCCACCGAAAATTACAAAAGGTTCTGCAGAGCTTTCCTTAGCAAGCTGAAGCTTACTAGTCATTTGTGGATGCGCATAAAAGCTGCTTATAGCACAGCTATGGCGTAAGCTATTTTCTAAGCAATAAATGGTTCAAGTCATCTATTTTGTCCTGAAATGCTACCTGTAGTTACAGCATTGCTTATAAATGGTCATAGTAAATTCAGCATCAAAGAGAATATTACAGAAAAAGACAGCAGCAGAAGCATTAGCATTATCTAGTATTTATATATGTTATCAACATAACACAGCAGTAAAAGGTTTAAATGCATATTAATGGGTACCGTGTCTAAAAATTACTAAAGTACCTATTTAGTGTATTGGATATTTTTCTCAAGGAGTGCTTGCTGTGTCTAAACAGCATAATTAGATATGTGACTTAGTACAGTTAATTCCTATTGATTAAATAACTTATTTATGTAACAAAGGAAATGGAAGGATACAAAATGGTTTCTCCCTCCCGATCATGATCCTGTATTTAATGCTGACATGATCATCAGAAAACCTACCACACGTAATTACTACCCTCAAATGGATCTTGAAAGGTCTAAGCCATAGCATGAGCCATATATGTATAGCAACGTGGCACCAGATATGGCATGCGGCTTGCAGTCTGAAGTCACGGATTTTGCTTGGTAACTGCATTTATGGCCACTCTTTTGTTAAACAGGATTTTTTTTGAGGTGATACCAAAAAAAAAAAAAAAAAAAAAAAAAAAAAACTCTCTCGAGATATCTGGTTTTTTTCAAAGACAAGGTGCAAGGTCTGCCACTGCAAGCTTCTAAATTAAATGCTGTGGTATACGCTTTGCTTCTCTTTTATAACTGCAGAAAGACAATTAAGAATGGCAAGAAACAAATGCCCTAGGCATGCTGTGCTGATATCAAGTGGTTATTTTGCACAATGAGAATTAACTGTACTATGGATACCCAGAGAAAATGTACAATATCTTATGCTGATATGAAACAAAACAGACATGATATAGCTTTTTTGTACTTAAAACCTGTATGTTCCCTTCCCAAACTTAAGTAAAAAGCAAACCCACCCTTTTCCTCCTGTTACACAGAATAACGTTTAGGTTCCAACCCTCCCCTTTCAAATAAAGTGCGCTGTCCATGGCAGACCATAGGAGTAATGCAACAGGAAAAGCCCCTTTTAGTGTACTATTTAAAAAACAAACTGAAGTCGTTTCAGCTTTCCTCTGGGTCTTGTGAAAGAGGAGAAGCCTAAGGGAGGGGGAAAACATCCCCTTCACTGTCACTGTTGTTAATAGACATAGCCTTCATTATAGGGGTGGGTGTTGCAGCAGCCACCGTCCTGCATGTAGACCATGCTCTCATCAAAGTGGGACAGAGGCACAGTGTCCTCCTCGTTGATGTGACGCTCCATGTCAGTCTTCAGCAAGGGGCGCTGGTTGTCTGGAAAAGCCATGGAGAAAAGCGCTTCAGGGTCGCAAACAAACTTGTAGACGTATCTTTCTCCAGCCACCTTAGGACAACAAAAGGGAGAAAAAGGTGCAGCGTAAGGCTCCATGGTTTTGCAACTCCAAGTTCAACAGTCTTGTGAAGAACTCGTCTTCATTACACAATTAATAACGTGGCAGAAGAACTGGTAAGGCAATGACCTAGCAAAGACAACAGGGATCCGCAGAAGCAGACTGTGCAGAAAGCTCTTAATTTTGCCACGTGTGATATCCTGTTGGAAGATGGACTAGGTATTCTACTTCTAAACATTTGTTTGTGATCGTTTCCCATACTTAACCACAAATGGAACTGTTCTTATTGGAAAATGTAAACAAATTCTCACTACAGTGGCAAAATAAAATGACTAAGTCCAACACTGTATGCAAAGCAGAAAAAAGAATCACATTGCATGATAGAGATCTGAATTTCACTTTATACAGATTGATTCATACTTGAGTTTTAAAGCACTTAGTTATAGTGCATGCTGATTGTATGGGGACAGTGCAAGCAAATACGTAGGCTAATATGTACTTAGCAATTGCTCATGCAAAGCTGAGACATTTGGATTTGCTTATGGAGGGGCAATTTGTCCAAATATCCTAAAGGTTTCCCTTACTCAGAAATAGCACTAAAAGTCTGTGCTTTATTGTCTTAAAAGCTAACAAATGATAAAAACAATATAGAATTATTGTCTTATTAAAAAAAAAGAGTAAATACAGTGTCTTCTCAAGCACCTTATTTAAAGAATTACGTCAAAAAATATGAGCCATTTTGCATGCTCATGGTTTATTGAAATTGTTTTAAAATACAGATCACATCATCTACAACCCTGGGCAGCACAGCATTGCAAGCAAGCGAACGAACGTGGCAAAAGTATTGCAAACTTAACTCTATTCTTTTGGGTGCAAAATAGTTTGAAGCACCTTCTTAAATTTTCAGTTTATTTACTCTACAAATAACATAAAGTTTTGGTAGAGGCTATATCTGCAGCAGAATTTTTTTTCATCAAATTAATGCCAGCAAGTTTGACGGACTGAAGGCTGCATTCAGAAACTGGGCATTTGCATAGCCTGTTATCATTGCTTACCTTAAAACGAAAGAGGGGAAAATGTGCGTATAAATCTTGCAATAATGAAACCTGCTATGAATCTACAACCACCATTTGTTTTTAATATACATTAACTGGCCAGATAGGGTGATTCCTGGGCAAACCTCAAACATTGCTATGTCAGAAAAATAAGTTTCCAAACTAGCTTTTAAAATGTGTGTTAAATACATTCTTGTAGATAATAAAGTAGTATTCTAAGGGGTAGCAAGTTAACTGTCAGAAATACTTGCAAACTTTCTGTATTAAATGGATGTGTGAGTTGGGCAGCATTATCAGCTTTATGGTATTCCCATCCCCATCTTTTCAACTAGTTTCTCTTTCTTCGCTGCCTATTCTTGCCTCTGTGCTGCCTTTGAACTGTGCCAGCACAACTGCCTGTGCAGCTGAGCTGTAACCTGCAACGAGGGACTTCTCACCCTGAAGCATCACCCAGCAGAATCAAGCGGTTCTGCTTCTCCCTAACCGGACCCAGCCTCCAGTCCACTTTACAAATACTCAAATGAGTGACACACAAAAGAGGATGAGGCACTAGTAGTGCTAGCCTAGATTGCTGTCCAAGTTGATGCCTGGATAGTGAAAAAAGAGCACTGCAACGATCCCATAATCAAAGCAAGAGAACTTGTAACAGGCAACTCCAAATCGAGACTTCACAAAACCTACTGGAACAGTTGCCCAGTAACTTGAGCTGAGAGCATTGTTTCCATTCATGGAATTGGCAAACGGCAGGTTTAAACACGTTAGTCATGACAGGTCACAAAACTAACGTGAAAAGATACGGAACAAGTTTTCCAGCACAAGGTGTTCATTATGATCTTTGATCACACCTGCCAGTTTTGTAGATGCAGCAGACAGGTCTCTCCTATTGATTTCTCAGTCAATCTACATAGTACTGCACAGCAAGATATAAAAACACACATGTAAATCAGCAAGCCACAGTAGAAGGACGGGTTGAATACTGTCAGCAAGACGAGACTGTTATACATAAATTCTTAAATATTTCTCATTATTCAGCCTATTATAAAATATTTAGTTCCACTTAAAAATGGTATTAGTACAACACTATTAGTAAAATATTAAAGTATTTGGTATGTTAATGGGTATCATTTTTCTGTCCTATCTTGCACTTACCAAAGCACCCCGAGTGCTGGGCAGCTAATTTAGATCTGCAAAACTTTATTCATACCGTACTCTACTGTTTGCCTTTCCCAGGTGCCAGGAAGCTCTTTTGGGTATTTTTGAATGTTACCTCTT